AAATTTTCAGGCAGATATCTACCCCATGCGTGTTTCAACCATCTGCGATGCAAAAAATGAGCCTTTTAGAAATAAAAGGACACATTCGGTGAGGTTAAATTATTTACCACTATTCTAATGAATGCCTATTTATTTATATCAAATGGCAGACGTCTTGATGGTTACCATTAGCCCTTTAATTGACTTCAGGCTTCACAGAGGGGAAGGAACATCAAATTGAAAAAAGTCGAGAGGGGGGGGGACAGAAGAGTGTTTCAAATATGTAAGAGACAAACACGAAGGTAGAAACAAGGTGAGGTGAGTACTGTGAAAATAGTCGAACATGGCATGGAGTGAGGTGATGGTAGTTTGAAGTGAGAATTCAACTGCCAGTTGATAGACTTTTTGCCGTATGAATATACGTTGCCCAGGGTGCACCACGATTTTTGTTCTTGATCCGCCGACTATTCAACTAGGGGTCGGAAGTAGAATACCAAAATTTATGGTACCAAGAAATAGTGAAAATGATTGAACTATTGAGAGTAGGGTATGACCAGTAGGTAAAGACCAATTTAGTGGAGTTTCCTCTCCATTTTGAGACCCCTTTAAAATGAAATTTTTTATTAAAATAAAATGATAATGCCTTCTTTTGGCGAAATCAATATCCCCACAGTACGAAATTTTGAAAATTTCGCTCTTAGCTGTTTTAAGCTAATAAAACATTCACTTCAGAATAGGGAAATTATTCACTTTGCGATGGATTCAAGACGAATTCGACGTCAATTTCAAATTGTGTCATTTAGAACTTTTTAAATTGGAATATGTGTACTCTGTTGTGGATCTTGAATATTGTTTGACAAGGACTAAGAAACTCGTGAGTAAAGTGAGGCGGTCCTTCTGAAGCACAAAGATGAAAAGGTAAAAAGATGAGTGGTAGATGGTTTGGCTAGCATAGTAGTTGAGGGGATACTCCACCAATAATGCAGACAACTTCGTCTAAAGCTGTGGTGGTTTTTTGGAATTAGTGTTTTCCTCTCCGATTGCGATGTGGTGACTCTTTCAGCATCATTTGTTTCCAAGAATGGCCTAGGTTGAATTGAGAAGTCTTCGTGAACTTGCTGACAATGAGAGTGGGCGATAATTTCGGGATTGGGTCCCCTACCACATCTCCTTTTTGAGGTGAAAGATGGATGTCAGTCAAATTTCTCGACTACACCAATCCCAATGTATGTTTGCCCTCCAAACTCTCCCCGATTCCTCCTTTCACCCCCGCCCTTCCAGATCTTAATCCAATGGACTACTTTGTGTGTGTGTATAGTGTGTGGGTGTGTGTGCTGTNGTAGGAGATGGTTTGGCAGATAAATTCGTCTAAAGCTGTGGTGGTTTTTTGGAATGTGTGTTCTTCTCCGAATGCGATGTGGTGACTCCTTCAACATCATTTGTTTCCAAGAATGGCTTATGTTGAATTGAGAAGTCTTCGTGAACTTGCTGACAATGAGAGTGGGCGATAATGTCGGGATTGGGTCCCCTACCACATCTCCTTTTTGGAGGTGAAAGATGGATGTCAGTCAAATTTCTCGACTACACCAACCCCAATGTATGTTTGCCCTCCAAACTCTCCCCGATTCCTCCTTTCACCCCCGCCCTTCCAGATCTTAATCCAATGGACTACTTTGTGTGTGTGTATAGTGTGTGGGTGTGTGTGCTGTGGATTGTGTATAAAAGTATTAATCGCCGTGTTAATTGAGGGGAAGGAAGTGATGTTTGTGACCCTTCCTAGAGAAAGTGTGGAAACAGCTTGCTCTCCAGGTTCCGGGGTGCATTTTAAACGAATGCAAAAGTTTTCTACCTGAAACGTTCTCTATGTCAAATTGTGCATTTTCGTTTGATTTTGTAGTGGTCTATAAAGTTAATGTCCTAACTCGGAGGTGAAATCTGTGCAACACAGACACTACACATTGCATTCAATTGGATGACCTTCAGAAATTGTTATAAATAAGCGAATCAATCATTTAAATGCTGGTTTTGTGGAATGGGTGGGCTAGGTGGGGGTGGGGGGGGGACTATGACAAAAGATAAATAATAAAAAAAATCGATAACGAAAATAATCACCCTCAACACTGTTCTTTTTAAGTTGTCCCTCCTTTGTGGAATTTTATCTTCGCATTAACTTGAAATCCAAAATTCTTTCATGGAGGCCAAATTATTTATTCAGGAGTGCATTTAAATTCATCCTTCTCACCTTTCAATGCAAACAGAACTAGAACTTTAATGCTAGAAATTTTGACAACACTCATTCCGCATTTATGAATCCACATCCCCCTTCTCCTCCTCCTCCTTCACCTTCTTCTTTTTCTTCGTCTCCTCCTTGTTTGTTCTTGGATTTTGCTTCGAATCCCTTGAATAGCATGCTGCATTCCAATATGATCTTGAGGATTGTAGGGGGGAGGGAAGGAGGGATCTGATAGAAAATGAATCTTTTTGTGTTACTCTATCATAACCTTTTCAAAGCCACTATTCACCGGCCACTTGGTAACTTTCCACCAAAGAATTGGGTAGGTAATTAATAAAATGAAAAAAAAGGAGTGCTTGTTNCCCCTCCTCCTCCTCCTCCTTCACCTTCTTCTTTTTCTTCGTCTCCTCCTTGTTTGTTCTTGGATTTTGCTTCGAATCCCTTGAATAGCATGAATCTTTTTGTGCTACTCTATCATAACCTTTTCAAAGCCACTATTCACCGGTCACTTGGTAACTTTCCACCAAAGAATTGGGTAGGTAATTAATAAAATGAAAAAAAAGGAGTGCTTGTTCAAAGGTACTATTCATGCATTTGATCCGGTTCAATTTGGACACGTGATTTCGATGTGATGGTATTGGTTTCTTTATTCATGCCATTATAATCACGGCGATTTTGTGGGATTAGTTCATGAAATGCAGGGTATACAAATAACGCTATTCGAAAAACTGAGGGAAGAAATTAAGGAACTAATAAGTTGTATCGTCTGCTTTGAAGAGTAAGTTGAAATTAAATTTGTGAACATTCCCTTCTATTATTTTTTTTCATAGGATGGCCGCACCCGTTCAACTAAGTTGTGGGCACATATTCTGCCTTGCATGTATCAATAAACTATATCCCCAAAAATGTCCAGTCTGTCGAGGTCTCTTCAGTCGTGATGATTTATCTTATTGTCACGTTGTGGCAAATCTGCGTAAGATAATGCTGGAAGATAGTGCATCTAATGCATCTCCAAGAACACCAACAAATGTTAAATCTAGAAAGGAGATCGCGAGAGAGCTTATGGCACTTGAAGAGTCCGAAAAACCCAAATTCCCCTATAGAATGGTGAGAGTCCTAATTCTCCTTACAATTTTAATTTTTTTGCAAGTGGGATTTAAATGTGTGTGTGTGTTAAATAAGGCCTCTAGGAGTAAANTGTTCAAAGCTACTATTCATGCATTTGATCCGGTTCAATTTGGACACGTGATTTCGATGTGATGGTATTGGTTTCTTTATTCATGCCATTATAATCACGGCGATTTTGTGGGATTAGTTCATGAAATGCAGGGTATACAAATAACGCTATTCGAAAAACTGAGGGAAGAAATTAAGGAACTAATAAGTTGTATCGTCTGCTTTGAGGAGTAAGTTGAAATTAAATTCGTGAACATTCCCTTCTATTATTTTTTTTTCATAGGATGGGCGCACCCGTTCAACTAAGTTGTGGGCACATATTCTGCCTTGGATGTTTGAAAAAACTATCTGCCCCTATATGTCCAGTCTGTCGAAGTCCCTATCGTCTTAAGGAATCAACTTATTGTCATGTTGTGGCAAATTTGCGTAAGATAATGCTGGAAGATAGTGCATCTAAAGCATCTCGAAGAACACCAACAAAGGTTAAATCTAGAAAGGAGATCGCGAGAGAGCTTATGGCACTTGAAGAGTCCGAAAAACCCAAATTCCCCTATAGAATGGTGAGAGTCCTAATTCTCCTTACAATTTNTACTATTCATGCATTTGATCCGGTTCAATTTGGACACGTGATTTCGATGTGATGGTATTGGTTTCTTTATTCATGCCATTATAATCACGGCGATTTTGTGGGATTAGTTCATGAAATGCAGGGTATACAAATAACGCTATTCGAAAAACTGAGGGAAGAAATTAAGGAACTAATAAGTTGTATCGTCTGCTTTGAGGAGTAAGTTGAAATTAAATTCGTGAACATTCCCTTCTATTATTTTTTTTTCATAGGATGGGCGCACCCGTTCAACTAAGTTGTGGGCACATATTCTGCCTTGCATGTATCAATAAACTATATCCCCAAAAATGTCCAGTCTGTCGAGGTCTCTTCAGTCGTGATGATTTATCTTATTGTCACGTTGTGGCAAATCTGCGTAAGATAATGCTGGAAGATAGTGCATCTAATGCATCTCCAAGAACACCAACAAATGTTAAATCTAGAAAGGAGATCGCGAGAGAGCTTATGGCACTTGAAGAGTCCGAAAAACCCAAATTCCCCTATAGAATGGTGAGAGTCCTAATTCTCCTTACAATTTTAATTTTTTTGCAAGTGGGATTTAAATGTGTGTGTGTGTTAAATAAGGCCTCTAGGAGTAAAATGGATAACTTATGAATCACTAATGATTGAAGAGGTGAGCGAAGATGACCATTCTGTCTTTCTCAGCACTGTGCTCTTTCTCTTCGTTCTGCGATCTGAGTTCTTCCCTTCTGTCACTTGCCACCTTAGGCTACTACTGCCAATTTTTCAGCAACATTGTGTGCGTTGATTGTTTTCTAATTAAAAAGTTACCTTAGGATTTGTTTTTTTCCGCCTTAGATGAAAGAATTCATTCGAACTTTAACTACTCCCAAAGAAATGTGGAATGTCATAGTCAAGGCCCTAGGAGGCGACGCTGAAGAGGAAAAAAATAAGAAGATGGTCATAAAATATGTCCCAGTCTGTAAAGATTACCCAAACTGTGACCGCCGATCCTGCGTTCATGCTCTCCCATGCCCTTTGTGTCCTCGAGGCGAAGCTTGTCTTAGAAGTCGCTGTCTCAAATTCCACCCAGTGCAAACGCTTAACTATTTCTTCCTTTTAAATGAAGATGAATTTTAACATCCTTTTATTCATCGGCTTTATTCAATTGAGTATTGCAACCTTTTAAAAGTTAACTGATATGAAAAACTATCAGTGAAAATATCATAATGGTTATAAGCTCTTCTCAAAGTAAAGAACATGGAGTATCCAAATGTGTTTAGGAGGTTGTATGCTGATAAGTTACGTCACCCCTCAGATCGAGATACTTTCCCTTCTGACTGAGCTAGACGATCAAGAGTCGGTCTTTTCAAGGGGAGGTTGAGAGGAAGGGGAGTATATGTTTGAAAGTATTTATATCAAATGGCAGGTGTTTTGATAGTTATCATTAGCCCTTTAGTTGACTTCAGGCTTCACAGAGAGGAAGGAACATCGAAGGGAAAAAAGTCGAGAGGAAGGAGGGGGAGAACAGAAGAGTGTTTCAAAGATGTAAAAGAGACAGTCACAAAGGTAGAAAAAAGGTAAAATGAGTACTGTGTAGTGGTGTAATATGACATAATGTCGGGTCATAATAGTCAGAAGTCAACTGCCGGTTTATAAACTTTCTTGCCGTATGAGAATACGTTGCCCAGGGTTCACCACATGGAGGTGAGTCTGTGGCACACCCCATGTTTGAAAGTAGAATATTCTGGAAAGTGGGGCCTTGCTATCGATCGCGTTGCGAGGACATGAGTGTAGAGACTCCTCNCATCGTGTGGAGGGAAGTCTATTGCACACCCCTTATCTGAAAATAGAGTCGTCAGTATTTGTCTCCAATTTCTTAAATCGCATGGGTTGTCTTGGAGTTTACTTGAAAACACTGGGTTATCTTTATTTAGATTTGACCGTATAATGCTGCTTGAAAGATGCATTACTGTATTTCCACTCAAATATTTATATCAAATGTCAGGCGTCTTGATG